AGGAGCTTATCGGACTGAACGCCCAAACAAAAGAAATACACTGACCGAGCCACTAGGCCCGTCCGCCAGCTTTTCCACCGACCAAAAACTACTGCGCCGACTATACAATCATTTGTTGTGTATAACCTACGTGACGTATGACGTGGCTTGCTTAGAGGCAGCCCGTAACAGCTGAACAGCGCGCCATTTTGCGGTAATACGTGGCATCCTAACAACTTACTTTCTGTAGTGTCTGCTACACGAAAGTACAGTTTTAGCATCAGGCCTAAGTTTTAATATGTCTTGTAAAACTTTCAGTCAGTTCCATACATTGCGTATAACAAACCTCATAGGATATAGTCGAAACTAAGCACCAATAAAGCGTATTGTTTTAGTCCATATACATTTATTTTTAACAATACTGTAACATTAGTGTTCTCATAGATCTCATCTCTGACTTTAATAAAATGTCATAACGTTGAGGAATCTTGTTTAATAGGCAAGATATTGCTCAGTGCCCTTATACAGACAAGTCGTGTATCGAGTGATGCTAGACAGCTTTATATTTGTTTTCTATGAAGAATAACTATATCCCGGTCCTTGAGATCTGTACAGACGGCCCTCGTATGTAGTCGAGTATGAGAGTGGATGTGAATGTGATGAGTACAGTGTGAGTGAACTATGATCCAGTATATAACGCTCAACCGTTCTATAGCCTGCAGTCTTTTGATCAATTGCGATTATTATGAGCAGCTCTCTGTCTGTCTGGTTGTGAGAGCGCGAAACCATGACACGTATAATTACGACTATCCATATCTCTTGCGTCATATCCCAGTCTTCTGCCCCCATCCCCATTTTCTATGGTTATAGTCGACACAGCACAAACTTACTGAAATTTTTCAGGCCTTCTTATAATTATTAATAATAAAACTGTGTATAATCAAAATGGAAATAGTGTATGTGATGAATGGTGAATACTTCTAACTTCGACAAGCTGTAATCTCATTGACTATTTTAATAGGGTCTTTTAAGTGTGGCGTCTATTAGATTGCAATAGCTTGTAACATGAACACCATTTCTCGTGTTTAAATCAAAGCGTGCGTAGTCCGTTCAGTACAATCTGTATTTTGACTTTCAAGGTCCAGAAAACATGGGAGTTGGTGTGAATTTGTCTAATGTTAGGTTTTATTTAGAGGATTTAGAGATTTTATGATGACTGAATGTGATTTATTTAGGGCACAGTATATGTTTCAAGACTGTCTTAGTAACATTGTACTTAAGTAATATTTTCTCTGTTCTTACTAACTAAAAGACTGGAATCGTCATTTAGAAAAACCGTACTTTCGGCCTATTTGTGCGAGTTACTAACTAAAAGACTGGAATCGTCATTCAGAAAAACCGTATTTTCGGCCTATTCGTGCGAGCTTTCAGAGAGAACGTCACTAAAACGTGAAACAGCGGTCAAGAGTTCGCGGTGATTGAAGAAAAACGGGCAGTTACGTCACCTGCTATTCGCGTAGGCGTGGTTACAAAATTATGTTGCGGTGAAACTTTTGAAACAATATGGTCATTCATACAATCTCATTTACTAAATTTGTGGGAAAATGTCCCCCTTTGTAGATACTGACAGCGCCAGAATTTAGTTTTAATTATACGAAGCAAATATTTATTGGTTAGGGTTGGAACAATTTACAAATTTGGAACCTGCTGTCTTCTAGGTTGTTGCGTCATGTAGTCTGGGCGATCGCCCTGATGATGGAAGCAGCAAACTTCTGTAATGTTGACTACGCAGCACAACAACGCAGAAGACGGCCATCTTAATACTTACGACTATGAGAACCTGAAATCTGAATTTACAAATTTGTTACATGCCTGTTGTCTGTTTAGGTGTGCACTGGTAATTGGTCGTTAATTTACTTACGCGGAAAGTGAGAATCTCCCTCGTATTCATTTTCAAGACGTTTCTCACAGAGATCCATTGACTTTTTTAGGAAAGGGTAGAACTGTTGTCCATTAGTTACAGACCCAATCATGTTGTTTCTAAAGTACAAATAGTAGGCCTACCGTAGTGTTGATCAGCCAAAGACCGGGTATCTTTGTAAGCTGGGTTCATGATAAAACTGGTAGAATTTCAGTTACAAGTCATAATAGAGCCATTTTGACAAGTTGGGAAAATTGTCGTGGTCAATTTCTGTTGTTTTCCCTTTTTATTTGAGCATTCCTCGTCTGTGATAATTAGCGATTACCGACGAGAAATTACGCATTTCATATGGGAATTCTGGTGGGAAATTCTTGTGCATAATGGATGTTTCAAATGTGATCACTGAGCCTATAAAATCACAAACCATCTTTATGTAACTTAATATTGGTCCAATATAAATCCAGTGTCGACCAACATTGGTCCATTACAGAGTCAATAATTATGCTTCTAGTGTAGAAGTATCTGAAGTTGAATCACGCAGATTCTCCTCACTGGATGATTGATATCTCTTCTAAGAATGAGAAATACCTTTTTTAAAAAAATCTACTATTTTCTACTCACTATTTACATTCTTTCGCTTTAGAAGTAACTTTTAGTATAACGTAACCTCTGTATCGAGTCGTACCTTGTATTGACAGTTTCTTGAGCCACCACTTCAAAACGTTTCTTTTATGACGGAAAAATGGCTTACGTTATGGACGCGACCGATAAAGGTCGTGTCGTTTCAATTGTCCCGCAGAATAAATATGAGACGATGACAAACCACTTTGGATCGTAGAACCATCGAGAAAATTTTGCTACTGAAATTTACGCTTCTGTAAAATGCACTGTTCCTCATTTTGAAGTGGAGGTTATAAGTATCTTGTCATACAGTCATAAGATTGTGAAAGGATACTTTTAGATATTTTTCTTCAGTCATTCTTGAACCTTCCTAAATATGTTGTACTGATATTGAAGTCGGTGCAAGTGGGACGGTCACGTGACTCAAGACAAATGTACAGCCAAATAGCTACGACACTGGACTCGTGTGTAAGACAATGAAATCTGTGGCACGACGGTGGAAGATGAGAGTCCACATTTTTGGCACATCTAATGCCTTTGGAGGGGGGATACCAGTTTCGTGTTTAGTTCCATACATTACAGGAAATATAAAAATTATAACTTTACAATTTTGAATATTTCAACAGACACTAATTCGCTCTGTAGGATATATATAGGTTCCGAGTTTATTTTATAAATCTGTTATTTGATATGTTCTGATTGTGATATTTTTACGCGGATTATCTCGTCACTGAATAATGCCCTTAAAATTTTGAGAGATGCGGTTCACATTCTTATACTTAAATACGCAGTGTACATATCGGATAATCTCACACTAACAATTATACAAAAGAAGTATTAGGACCATTACTTATACATTCATGATACATTTTATTTATTACGAAAGAAAATTATCTTCCTCTGTATTTAAATGAATCAGTCTGGGAGTGAGATTCGTGTGAATGAATTTCACGCCTTAATTAATGCTTACGCGATATTGTTAACTCGAACATTTGCTAGACCCCCGTGTTCATCAAACACGGCCAGAATCGTCTTAGTTATCTCAAACGTCTGTTGACGGCGTGTCGTGCCACAGGTATGCCAGTGTCTCTGTCTTAGTGCAGATAACTTTTTGACTTTACCTGCACAGCAAAGCCTTACTATTATAAAAAAAATAATAAACTTAAAACCTATAGAAGTAAACTGTTGCAGAGCTTGTGCGTATCTTGATATTCGGAGTTCTCAGGGTATAGCTCAAGTATATTAAGCAGAGTAGAGTGTTCTCATTTAATATTTGCAGCCCCTAAAAGAGGCCAAAAGACGTAGCCAAGTCTCCTTACAGTGTTACAAGTATTTACGTTCCGCACAAGGAACGTTCGTAGGGCTGAGTACTCAACTTACGTTCCCGACAAGGAACGCAAGTAAGATAAAGGTTAAGAAGAAAATAAATCCTTTTTAAAACTCCTCCAACTTTCAAAACTTCTAATGGAAAACCCCGCAAATCATTTCTAAAAATATGTGATGTATATGTGTGTCCTAATGTACCAAGTCGTAATAGTGTGAAGGTATGTTGGAAATGAATCTCCACTATGATAACATTAAGTAGTATGGAAAATTTCATAGCTTTGTAGGTGATAACATGCAGGTGTTAATCATATTACTACTATCATCGTAGTATATCACATTATGATATAAAGCAATTGTATTTCTTTGGAATTAATAGTGTTATTATTCAAATACGTTAACTGTAGTAAGCTCAAGAAGAACTCGTCAAAGAGAGCTTGATTCACAACCATGGAAGAGGGAAATGGAAACTGGAAGGAGACGTGTTTTGTCACATTAATTAGGATTCATTCTCATTGTTAAAATCGGTCTTAGAAATAACTGATCGACACTGAAAATTAGTTACTTTTATGAAGTAAAGAATTTTAACTCGGTAGTTATTTTTAAAAATATATACATCTCCTGCTGGATTAACTCAAATAATATTTCAGCACTGTGGAGCCAGCCAGAGAATAGTGTTGAGAAAAAATTTGTCGGTATACAATAGTTTAAAATGTAATTCGTCGTTTTGTATTTGGAATTTAAATTAATTTTTCCGAGCTGGGTGAGGACCAGTTCAAATATAAAATAATCGTATCAAAATTGTCCATGATAAAACAGGCAATTTTTTTTATCAGAATTTGTATTTCTTATTGAAATACACCAGTGAAATTCACGTATATTTTGTGGCTACTTATTTGTAAATAAATTAAGATGCCACAAAAATAATATTCTTGCCTCTTTCTCACTCGTTTCTTTATACAGTGGTTTCGGAAAACTATTTTCAAGAAGCTTGATATTAAGTTTTGGCTTGATTTTTCAATCTACACAAACTGCAACAAACACCAACCATTTATTGAAGATAATTATCTTCTGGGATGTGCGGTGTAGACTGGTAGAAACTCCGTGACATTTCAGAGGTGTTGATGTTGGCAATAAACGTCTCTGAAACATAAGCTAGCTTCTGCTAGACCACATAACCTAACATCCTGGAACACACGTCAACTAGATACATGTTCCCCATTAGAACCTGAACTCTCAACTACCATTTATTGATCTTGTATTGGCCATTTGCTGCCATTGCAGAACTTGAAGCCTGTTAGGTGCATGTCCTCTGTAGCAAAGGGCGTGTGTTTCAAGAGTTCTACTTTCATACGCGCTAATGAACTGGTCCTAACTCTCCACTTCCCCATACCTTGGATGTGTGTGCGTGACATTCACGTGGCTTGTCCCATTTCTTATAGGTCTTAATTACTCTGTTGTTATTATGCCTTATAGCAATTACACTACTTACCTTTTGTTTTCATTTGAAGCTTCTTATAGGTCTTAATTACTCTGTTGTAATTATGCCTTATAGCAATTACACTGCTTACCTTTTGTTTTCATTTGAAGTCTTAAGATGTCCAGGATTTGATTACTATTGAATTTTCTGTTAAAAATTATACAAAAATCTGAAGTAATAGAAATGTCGTTAATATTATCCCGTAACACCTTTGCCACGGCAAGGGTTATAACAACACGCACATTCATAAATATCCCATAAGGCCCAAAATCGCGTAACAGCTAACGATCGACAACCGACCAAACCACCAACACTCGCTTATTATATCGATAATGTGCCCAAGGTTTTATAACCAAAACACATTACGCAAAATCCAGAATCGCCGATATAGGTACAAGCCACTTGAATAAATTATCCATGGAAGTGAAAATGTGTTCATTTAACTACAAAGCCAGAGGAACAATTGAGCGTAGCTGCGTAATTTAAATTTCGTTACATATTTTGAAGGAAAAAAACTAGAACATGGTAATGGAAATATAAGACAGCATAACATTGGTTTATTTTTGTTTAGTAAAGATTACAGTATAATCCACAATATAGGGCAATGACTTATAACAATGATAAGTAGGGAATTTATATTATAATAGCGTATTCCTGCTCATGTTATTATAAAGAGAGTACTTAACTGAAACCTGATTGTAAATAATATTCATGTATGTAGTGTCATGTAAAATGGTACAAATAATGAACTTGTATATTTATGGATATTTTAAGAAATAAAGGGTATTCTACAGGAATAAATCATTATTCCTTAACTGAAAATTCATTATCTATCATAGATAAGATATTCAATCACGATGGGTCTATATTACATAATACGAGGAACATGAACTGTGCATTTTCGGGGGTTTTACAAAAAAATTATTATATTTTACTTGAAAATCTAGACATCTTGATTTTAATGGTAGTTCATTTATTTTTATCGAGTGATTGAAATGTGAAGGCCTGTATTCATTCTGTTAAACTTTTCTTTTCCCGTAACATTACTTGAATATTTTTTAACGAGACGTAGTTTTGAAAATGATAGCTCTCTTGTACTTGTAATAGGAAGGGAGGTAGAATTTTCAGAAGCTAGTTGTTGGCAGCAGTGTCTGATCGGAGCGACTGAACAGGCCTCACTACGTAAATTTATTTGAAAATGTTGTGTTAAAGGCGGCTATATTTTAATTGTACGCTTTGATTATAAATGTAGGACATTTCTAGGCCAGTTCTATAAATCGCTCAGTAAAATACTGGGATTCCTGTTTATTACGAGATAGATGGCTCTGAAATCGTACGTCAGCATGTCAGCTGCTTCCTGAAAACACCACAAATTCGTCACAGGCTCAGACCAATGCTGGTCGTTCATGGAACAGTGGTTGTGTTTATGTATGTGTATTGTGAAATATAGCGTTGAACAACGATTATTTATGTACGATACCTTCCAAAGTAATTGACAAAAAGTGGTGTTTAGTGCAACGGGATCTGTGTTGGACAAAAACATTTCCTGAAAAAGATACTAATCGAAGAAACTCGATTATATTGACGCTGGACTAGAAGCAAGCCTGAAAAATTCGGAACGTCAAGAAGTAGGCGTACGACCCACAACTGGTAAGTTTTGTCCCCACAAATCGATAGTTTTATATACAGTAGTCTTGCTTCCAGATTTTGAAGCAAGAATTTAGTTGGGATAGTAGGGGAATTGCGCCACCTTTAGGGAAAATCAATTTTATTGCTTAATGAGCATTGTTTACAAAAACTAAATGTTGAATCTTATAGAGTAATTCATCATGAAGACAACATACGGAGAATTTTGTATTAATTCCTGCTCTATCTATGATTTTTTGATAAACTTTCACCAAAGCGCATTTGGTGGAGTTCGCCCCGATATACGGGGTAATTCTGCCACCCTATACAAATCCCATGAAGATGAAGACAATGCTTTGAGTTAACAGATAAGTTTATTCATGGTATTTCAAAAAATAAGTGCAAAATGTTACTACACAAAACACAACTAGGAACTTTCATCTAGTTGAGATACGTACAGAAAAAAATAAAAATGTGACAGCTCTGATCAAATGGGGAACTCGTTGCATGTTTCCCAGATAAAATCAACTGCAAAATCTGCTTAATCGATCACAAGCCAAAGCTGAAACAAGACTTCATGGCGTCACACTGCCTGGTAATGGGACAATGCCGCACCATGAAGTTCCATTACCCCAGACGTGATTAACATACCATTATTTATTCCCACTTGAACCCAGTATGTTACCAAGACTGCAGGTTTACACGGCGGTGAGTCTCAAGATGGCTGTCTTCTGGGTTATTACGCCATAGTCTGGTAGAAGTTTTACGACATATCAGAGGTCCTCGCTGCCTCCATCAGAAGGGTATGATGAAAGTGTGATGCTCAGAGAATGACGGGACAATTTTTTGACGAAACAGTAAATTACAAACTTTGTCATTCTGACACTCTCTATTGACCAAATGGCTGTATACGAATACGTTAGCTAAAGTGTTCCCTACTAACTAACTA